TCTAGTTTCTCTGTCTGTTTTGAAGTGCCGGTTTCAAATTCCTGCAGCTTTCAGTGTAAAACCGAGTTGAAGATATTACCTTCCAATGTATATGTTTTTAGTGAAATTTCCAAATGAAAAGAAACTTTGTGTTCCCAGGAATCTAGGTGAAGTTCGGCTTTGAAACATACTTATCTCTCAGAGTTTAGCATGTGGAGAGACGATATTTCATTTAGCACAAATGGAACGTGTAGCAGGAGACACACTGACTCTGTTTTCCCAGTATGATTCCTAGAGCCCTTTTGAAGTTCCTGCAAATTTGAATGGAAGCCTGAGTTGGTACTAGTACCTCCCCATATATATGTATGTACTGTAGTTTCCAAATGAAAAGAAACTTTGTTTTGCCAGCAAGCTAGGTGAAGGACGGCTTTCACACAAACTTATCTCTCAGAAATTAACATGTGGAGAGACGTTCGTTCATCTAGCACGAAGGGAACGGTATAAAATTGATAAACTTACTCTTATTTCTATGACTGTTTCCTAGTGCAGGTTTGAAATTCCTGCAGTTTTCAATGTAAAGCCGAGTTGGAGCTAGAACCTCCTCATATATATTTATGTAGTGTTGCTTATAACTGAAAAATATTTTTCCCAAATATCTAGGTGAAGTGAGACTTTCACAAAAAGTTACTACTCAGAAATGAGCATGTGCAGACATGTTCTTTATTGAAGCACAAATGGAATGTGTTGCAGTAGAAATACATACAATGGGTTCCCACTCTTATTCCATTAGAAGGATTGAATTTCCTAAAATTTTAACTGTAAAATCGAATTTGTGCTTGTACCTCCCCTTATGTATGTACGTTTTGAAATTTCCAACGGAAAAGAAAATTTGTGTTGCCAACAAGCTAGGTGAATGGCGGCTGTCACACACACTTTTCTCTCAGAAATTAGCATATGGAGACACATTCGTACATCGAGCAAAAATGGAAATGTTTGCCAGAGAAACGATTACTGTGTTCCTAGTCTGTTTAATAGTTCTGGTTTGAAATCCTCTAGTTTTCACTGTAAAAGCGATTTGGATGTAGTACCTCCCTATATAAATATAAGTATTGCCGTTTCCAAATGAAAAGGATCTTTTAGATCCTAACATGCAATGTGAAAGATGGACTTCACAAAGAGTTACGTCTCAGAAATGAGCATTGGGACAGACGTTCATTCTTTTGGCATAAAGGGAACGGTTGTCAGGGGAAACATTTACCCTGATTTCCCAGTTTTTTTCCTACTGCGAATTTCAATTTCCTGCAGTTTTCATTGTAAAACCAAGTTAGAGCTTGAATCTACCCGTATTTATGTAGGTATGGTTGTTTCCTATGAAAAAAAACTGTGATCTTTACAAGCTAGGTGAAGGACGGCTTTCACACACACTTACCTATAAGAAATGAACATGTGGAGAGACGTTTGTTCAACTAGCAACAAGGGAAAGGGTTTCCAGTTGATACATTATTCTGATTTCTTAGTCTGTTTCCTAGCAAAAGTTTGAAGTACCTGTAGTTTTCACTGTAAATCTGACTTGGAGCTAGTATCTACCCATATATATGTATGCTGAGTAGTTTCCAATTGAAAAAACTTTGTGTTCCCAAGAAGCTAGGTGAAGTACGGCTTTCAAACACACTTATTTTTGAGAACTGTTAATGTCGATAGAGTTCATTCTTCCAGCATTTCGGGGGTGGGTTTCAGTAAAACACTTACTCTGGTTTCTCAGTCTGTTTCCTTGTGCTGGTATTAATGTCCAGCATTTTCACTTTAAAACCGTGTTGGAGCTAGAACTTCACCATATATAAGTATGTAGTGCAGTTTCCAACGGGAAAAAATCTTTGTGTTCCCAACAAGCTAGTAGAAAAACAGTTTTCACACACACTTACATCTCAGAACTGATCATGTGGAGAGACTTCCGTTCATCTAACACAAAGGGATCGTGTTGCAGGAGAAACAATTACTCTGTTTTCTTAGTCTGTTTCCTTGTGCCGGTTTTAATTTTCTGCATTCTCACTATAAGACGAGTTGGTGCTTGTACCTCCCCAAATATATGCAAGTAGTGTGCTTTCCATCTGAAAAGAAACTCTCTGTTGCCCACAAGCTAGGTGAAGCACAGATTTCACAGACAATTATCTCTGAAAACCGAGCATGTGGAGAGAATTTCATTAATCTAGAACCAAGGAAACTTTTTGCAAGTGGTTCACATTCTCTGATATCTAATTTTGATTCCTGGTGCCGGTTTGAATTCCCTGCATTGTTCATTGTAAAACTGAGATGGAGCTAATACCGACCCATATCTATGTACATATTGCACTTTCCTAATGAAAAGAAACTATGTGTTCCTAACTTATTAGGTGAAGCACGTCATTCACACACAAATTTCTCTCAGAAATTAGCATGTGGAGAGATTTTCATTCATCTAGCACAAGAGGACCTGTTTGAAGGAGAAAGAGTTACTCTAGTTTCTCAGTCTGTTTTCAAGTGCCGGTTTGAAATTCCTACATCTTTCACTGTAAAACCGTATTGAAGCTACTACCTTCCTATGTATATGTGTTTAGTGGAATTTCCAAATGAAAGAAACTATGTGTTCCCAAAAAGCCAGGTGAAGGACGCCTTTGAAACACATATCTCTCAGAGTTAAGCATGTGGAGAGAGGATCGTTCACGTAGCACAAATGAAACGTGTTACAGTAGACACACTTACTCTGTTTTCCCTGTATGATTCCTAGAGCCCATTTAAAGTTCCTGCAAATTTGAATGTAAGCCTCAGTTAGTACTAGTCCCTCCCCATATTTATGTAGGTACTGTAGTTTCCAAATGAAAAGAAACTTTGTTTTGCCAGGAAGCACCTTGTAGGACGGCTTTCACACAAACTTATCTCTCAGAAATTAACATGTGGAGAGACGTTCGTTCATCTAGCACGAAGGGAACGGTTTAAAATTGATAAAATTACTCTTATTTCTATGAGTGTTTCCTAGTGCAGGTTTGAAATTCCTGCAGTTTTCAATGTAAAACCGAGTTGGAGCTAGAACTTCCCGATATATATATTTGTAGTGTAGTTTCTACCGAAAAAAAATTTTGTTCCCAAGAATCTAGTTGAAGAGTGACTTTCAAATATATTTACCACTCAGAAATTAGCATGTGCAGACAGGTTCTTTTTTCAAGGAAAAATGGAATGGGTTGCAGTAGAAATTCTTACTCTGGTGTCCCAGTCCTTTTCCTTTAGCCGGTTTGAAGTTCCTACCATTTTAACTGTAAAATTGATTTTGTGCTTGTACCTCCCCATATATATGTACATTTTGTAATTTCCAACTGAAAAGAAAATTTGTGTTGCCAGCAAGCCAAGTGAAGGACGGCTGTCACACACACTTATCTCTCAGAAATAAACATGTGGTTATACTTTCTTTTATCTAGCACTAAGGGAGTAGTTTATAAGATATACAAGTATTCTAATTTCTAAGTCTGTTTCCTGGGTCGGTTTGATGTTCCTGCTGTTTTCACTGAAAAACTGAGTTGGAGCTAGAACCTACCCATATATATGTAAGTAGTGTAGATTCCTAATGAAAAGAAATTTTGTGTTCCCAACATGCTAGGTGAAGAACGACTTTCACACACAATTTTGTGTGAGAATTGATCATGTGGAGAGTCTTTGTTCATCAAGCAACAAAGGAGCAGTTTAAAAGGATTACAATTACTCTAATTTCTTAGTCTGTTTCCTAGGGTCGATTTGAAGTTCCTGCAGTTTTCACTGTAAAAGAGAGCTGGAGATAGAACCACCCTATATATATCTACATATTATAATTTCCAAATGAAAGAAATCCTTTTGTTCCTAACATGCTTGTTCAAAGATGGATTTCACAAAAACCTATGTCTCAGGTCTGAGCCTGTGGAGACACTTTCGTTCATTGAGCACAAATGGAACTGTTTTCCAGAGAAACAATTCCTGTGTTTCTAGTTTGTTTACTAGTGCCGTTTTGAAATCCTGTAGTTTTCACTGTAAAACAGATTTGGAGCTATTACCTCCTGATATAAATGTAAGTATTGCTGTTTCCAAATGAAAAGGAACTTTTTGATCCTAACATGCAAGGTGAAGGACCGA